ATTGAAATACTTAATCTCTCCAGTTACTATTAACAGTTACCTAGGAGGACTGATCCCTCATTTATTTGCCAAAAAACCCCCTCAGCTTAAAATCATCCACCAGAGTAGTACTGGGTTTTTTTGGTTTTCTTTTTACTGAATTTGTCTCTGATGATTTGGGTTTGATGTTAAATTATTTCCAATGCCAGCAATGTAAAAAGAAGTAGGAGAAAGCTGTGTGAATATAGGGATATTCTCACTGTATCGTGTGGTAGTCTCTGGTATCACATTTCCAAACTCTGTACAATTTTGTCCCAAGAGAAGTTTGACAACCAACTGACTTACTCTGTAAGGGTATTAATCTCAGAATAATGACACTTTTCTAAATTCTCAGACCCGGCCAGATGGAAAATGAAGATAAATCCCATGCTTAGAAAATTAATAAACTTAATAAAATCTGAAAACAAAATTCCTGCCCCAAGTAAAAGCTTTTCCTCAAAAGGCAACAAAAAAGTCTGTGTCACATGATGTCCACTAGGAGTCGGCAATTGTTTTTTATTTTAGTTGAAATATAGCTGTGGTGAGTGATGGTTTGTAAATATTAAAATAAATCTGATTTAACTCTCATAAAAAACAAACCAAACCAAACCAGAAAGAGATTCCATACCAATTGGACCAGTAGTTTGTTTAGGCCACTACTTTGCGTCTGATAGTGGCAGAAGGAGAGAGTGTAAATCTGGCCACATTCTGTACCCTCTCAACATCCACACTTGTATTAAGGTCCAACCTTTCCTATTTTGGTTAGTCTCTATTTATGGACCTCTCTGTGTGAGTTTGCCAAAGCTCCCTCTAAGCATGTTAACACAGCCTGCACGGAAGCAAGTTCCAGAAGATCATGGCTGTAAAGAAAAATTACTTTCTTCTCTCTGTTAAGAAGTTGTTAGTAGTTTCTTTCAATACCCCCTGCCGTGGATAAGGTGAATATGGAAATGTTACTCACCAAATCCTCAAAGCTAGAAGCAAAGGGTATAATTTTGATCACAACCCACCGGATTCTGATAATTTCAGACAAATATCAACAATGACCCCAGGACCTCTTCCCTGCGTGGTAACTTTCAGTTCTGAGTCCATGGTTGTGTAGATATGGCTTAGGTTGTTTTTCCTATAGGTAACTTTATGTCTCATCTGTGTTGAAACTCTTCTGTGTCTCTTTAGCGCACACACACTGTTTTGCAAGATCCTTCTGGAGTTTTTGTGCCACAGATAAAGCATTTGGCTATTTAAGACCTGAAGATTTCACTGTTCGCTCTTTTCTTCAGGACACTGAGAAAATGGAATAAAACCAGTCCCAGCAGCAGACTTTGTAGGACTTCACTGTTGACTCTTCTCCATCCTGGAAAGAGACCATTAAGCCCTAGTCTTTGCTTCCTGTCCTTTAACCAGCTTTGTCTGTAAATGGATCTTTCCTCCAGTACCACAGCAACTTAGTTTCTCTAATAACCTTCGATTGTCAGAAGCTTTTTGGAACTTTAAATATATTTTATCCTCTGGGTCACCTCTACCCATGTCCTTCACGTTAGCATC